TGTCCGAGGTATGTATGAGAATAATTAGTTCACCATTGAGGGAGGCCGTGGCAGGCCTTAATGACCCCCGTTGTTCTAAGGGAGGCCTTACGGGCCTTAATGATCCCCGCTAGTGTGCACATGGTTTAGCGACTTTAAGCCCAGGGTCTTTGTGACCACTAGACGCCCAGTTACAGTTTCAGTTCAGCTCAGTACTTACATAGTCAAGTCATGATATAGTTATTAATGATGCTGTTTAATTCAGTACTGGTCTTTGCGGAGCATAGTGGTTTGCTCACGCCCCCATTACGTTTTTTAGGTGACGTAGTGGAGCGTGAGCATAGTGGTGCGTTGTCATTAGCAATCTTTTTGTAACGCATTTACATGTCATTCATTGAACATGTGTTAGTATTATGCGTAGACATATTATGTTTCAGCTTCCGCTCATTTCAGACTTAGTATGTATTATGAGATTATCAGACTTATGCATGTATAATGCATTTATCTTCGTGGTACCTTTATATAACATATTTGATTAGGTTACATGTATTTATTTACGTCTGCATGAGAAAGAGTTTAAGTTAGTAGCATCCCCTGAGTTAGTATGAGTATTTTTTCGAAAATAAAGTTAAAGAGTTTTTCGAAAATAAAAAGCAAAAATTTTACTCTAGTTTTATTATTTCTAGTATTAGAAGGCGGGCTGTTACAGCTATATTCGACTGATTAGATTTATGTAAGGAGAAATTTTTTATAAATTATAAGTATAAAATATACTTTTGGTATATTTATATAATTTTATCATATTTAGTTATTTATTTATGTATATGACATACATGGTTTTAGTAAATAAAAAATTAATATAAGTAATACGTAGTAGTTAATAAATATAAAAATTGTAAAACCATGTTATATACATTGCTATAGCTTAGTGGTGAGAGCATCACTTTGAGATGCAAGATGTCCCAAGTTCAAATCTCACTATATGTAAAGTTTATAGTTGTCAGTATGATTTGTGTAGAAGCTTGTTTCTTATGCCTTCCAGTGTGGGTCGAGTGGTGGATTGCGATAAATAAAATAATTTAAAAAAAAAAAATGATTTGTTATTATTTTTCCTGGTGAAATTCATCATTATATATTAGTGTTTAAATGATGAATATTTAAATTTGTCATATAAAGATATATTGAAGTGACAAAATTTGATTATAAAAATGAGAAGTTCGTCATTATAGATTAATATTCAGATGACAAAATATTATTGGTCATTTAAATTCGATCTTTTAGTGATGATTTAAAAATTTCAATGACGAACTTTTGATATGAGATAATTACCCTGTCCACAAGCACATGTCCTTTCATTTCCAAAAGTGTGAATTGAAAAGTTTCATTCCACTTCTAAATTAATTGGTTCTTAATTACAAATTTTTTAACATTTTAATTTCAGAAAAGTCAAATGTGAACACTTCTTAATATCTTCTTACAAACCCCAAGCCTAAAGCATCTCTGTAAAACACCAAACACGCCACAAATCTAGTTTCTCTTGTTTTAATCCTCCCCGTCCTCCCCTTCCAGAAGCAAATCACATCATTCTTCGGCGCCCATCCTCCTCCGCCTATCGGCCGTGGCTTGCTCCCCTCCGCCTCAGTCGCAGTTTGTTCCCATCCTCCGACCATGGGCGGCTTTCTCCTTCGCGCTCTGCTCTTCTACCCGTGGAGTGATTCCCGACGCCAACGAATGGTCTGCATCTCGGGGCCCCTGGAATCGTTGCCAACATCACCCTCGCTTTGAGATCCTCTCCCTCTCCGGCTCCCTCCTCCCGCCGCCTGCATCGTTTGTCGCCTCAAGGTGTGTTTTACTGATTTAGGGTTTAGTAAATTTTTATTTTTATTTCTTTGTTGATGAGGTTTCATTGATCTTAGATCTAAAAATTTGATTATGGAATTCCAGCGGCCCAACACCCGAGAAGCAAACCGTGCAAATGACCATATCCTATGCGGGTTGTGTAACGGGCC